AAAAAAAAAAAAAAAAATACGAACGTCTGTTTTATTACATTGTCATTTTATTTCAAGTAAAAAGTCAAATATGAAATATGAAAATTTAAAGGCAATTGTGTTTGGTAAAGAATTAGTATGAACGGCCATCTTCAATCAAGTATTTAATAAGAATGAAGAATGGCAAAAATCTTTGCTGCTCGATACGAATTCTATTTTTACGTTGTTTGTGTTGTTCGTCTGCATTATTAAGGTGCACGAAATATTACAGTTTCTAATGACGAATCTTGGCCGTTAGTATCATTTCGTTGTTAAGGCAATGCCGGAATGGTGGTGGGTCGAGGCAAGGAGCGACTATAATCACTTGGCAACGTTGACGAGGCAGCTGGACTCTCGTATCTCCATTATGGTTCTCCTATCTTTCGCCACCGATCTGTATTTCATCTGCATACAGCTGCTTTTCTCCTTCAAGTATACACGACAGAATTTTATTTTATTTGTGCATGTTGTCCCACGTCGGCTCTCATGACATTACCATTTTTCATTCGAATTAAATCGTGAGTTAAATGACTCGTGTCACCTCCTTCTGGCAGGCACTCTTGAAAACAATTAACATTACACTGTATTGTTATTGTCAGAGACCAGGGTAAGACAGATCAATGTTTTTTTATTTACGGGGCAATTTTTTTGGTATATTTTTGCATATGCGAGTCAGATAAAATATAAATAGTCAGATGTTCGTAAGAATTCGACTGATTGCAAATTAACGAACAGAAGCGTGACTAAACGTCTGACAAATTTTTTTTATAAACATTTACACAATGGTGATAGTTTTCGAAAGAAATTTATTATTATTCTGATATTATTTATCCATATAACTTAGATGGCGTACATTTGTCATTTTATTTCATGCATGATATTTCGTTCGTTTTTATTAATTAAACACTTATTTTTCAATGCAATTGTAAAACGTCACGAATATTATATTAAAAAGTCAAAAACAGAGAAGTTTGCTCACAAAATTGGAAATCCTCCTTCGGAGGATTGGATATTAGCGTTTCAAATGTTTAAATTGATGGTATGAATCTTGTACTACTAAATATCGAGAATATTGTTAAAATTGTGCAAATTAAATCAATGAAATCGTCTCACCCAATAGTTGAATAAAACGGCCATTTATTCGTAAATTAGTTTTTTAATTTCAGATCAAAGATCCTTGTAAAATTGTTCTGCTGAAACATTTTCGGTTTTTTTCGTATATAAAAAGTAAAAAAGTTACATTTAATTTTGCTTAACATTGCTGTCTTACTCCGATCTCTCCTAATTAATTAGTTCATTAATTAATTAATTTCATGAATTATAAAACGCTTCGATCATAATACAAACATATCTGGAAAGTTCATTTCTTTATTTATACAATTATTTACTGAACCTTTTTAATTTTTTAAACATATAATATATATATTTATTTATGTTTATAAATTAAGAATTGATTATGACGATCACTTTAAGTTCTGCAGAAACATAATATCCGCTCAGTTATGTGAATAATCGTTTTATTTCTACATACTGGTTGCTCATCTCAAACAACTTAATCTGTTTAACGATTCAATTTTCTAGTTCCAATCCTTCTGCGGTCTCGTATAAAATGTAATTAATATTTTTAACTGTCACTGCGACAGCACGCATAAATTAAATATATTGAACGTCTGAAAAAAAAAAAAAAAAAAAAAAACAGCCCCATGCAGGACACCATAGAGAAAATCTACTTTGGCTTCTCCTTTGGATTCCTGCTGGCGAGAACGACGATGGTCTCTTTGTGCGCCGCGACGATTCACGACGAGTCGTTGCTTCCGGCTCCGATTTTGTACAGCGTTTCCACAAACAGTTTCTGCACAGAAGTAAGACTTTCACTTAATGTATCTCTTTCTAAAAAGACAAAAAAAAAGAATTTAAAGGAAGTCTGTAGGGAATATTGCAAATGGTAAAATTGGAAAATTTTGTGCTTTTCCTTTTTTTATCTAAAAATGTTTCATCGAAATTTTTTTATCAAAATGAATATGTACTGTGGCATGCAATTTAAGTGGAATTTTTCTTTTTGTAGTTCAATATCACTGGTAAATGATTTCTTCTTTCTGAAAAACTTTGGTGTTTCTATTTGCAAAAAACAATGTTGTCATTCTTGAAATAGGCTTTCACTGAAATGAAAGTACCTGGAAAGATTTTCTTCAAATTATTTAATAATTATTTATATTTACAGGGAGTCTATTTATTTGAGACAAGTTTTAGTAAATGCATGTGACTAAATGAATTCACTTGTTTGAATTTGATCCCCTTATTACATAGACAGTAGCATTGTAGGTACAAACCTTAAAGTTAATTATAATATTCATAATATAGATATAAAATTATTAAATAGTCTAGAAAAATATTCAGAGAAGATAGTTTTATATTTAATTGTCTTTTAAATTTCACATATAAAAAACATTTGCTCTTATTTTCCAATGAAGCTTATTATAGAGTCAAATTTTTTTATATTTGATCATTATACTTTTCGCTATATTGTACTAATAATATGTATTATTATCAATTATACTTATTAATTATAGTTAGGTCTAATTATGCATAGTATATAAATTTTACAATAAATAAAATGGTGTGTCCATATTCTTTTTTGTACATATGTATTATATATACATAACAATTCGTATAATTAACTATTTTAAAATAAAAATCACAGCAATTAATATTTTTCTTCATAATAGTCTATTAATAAATAGATGACATTACTATAATAATTCTGGTACCGATTTATCATTATGATTAATTAAACTTGCAGTTTGAAATACTCGATATGTTTATTCTTTTTATAGCCGATTAACTTTATATACTATATGTAAAATAATTTTATTGTTTCCGTAATAAAATTATTTATTATATATTATTAGACAATGAGGTTCCTGGCGCAAGTAACAACGGACAACATTTGCTTGACGGGCATGAAATTCTTCTCAGTGACTAGAAGCCTTGTATTAACCGTACGTATAGAACGTAAATATAAAATAATAAATTTCGAGAAACCTAACATATACATATACATATGCATATGCATATGCATATACATACATGTACATTACATTAGTGTATATAAATTTTGTAATTTAATTTATATTTGACAATCTTATCATTTGGTATCTTAATGACTAATAATTAGAAGATTTAATTAATGTGATAATTTAATAATAATGATCAAAAGTCAGAAGTTTCACTTGATGTTTTAATGAAGATTAAGAAAATTTATTGAAAAAAAAAGAAAGAATTTACGTGTACATTAACATTAAACAAATGGTATAAAATTATTAATATAATTAATATCTTGTTAATTGGTATCTTGTATTATATATATTATTTATATATATTATTTATATCGTATTATATATTATTATATATTATTCGTATTATATATTATTTATATATATTATTTATATCGTGGTAATTGGTATCTTGTATTAATATATATTATTTATATAATATATTAATATTATTAGTATCTCATCTCGAAGCTATAATTCTTGCAGAATAATACGAAATTAATTTCCCGCTTTATTATTTTCATCTCAGCCTACAGTAAACATTAGTTATTAGAATAACATGTTATATCCCGTCAGATGTAAAATATTATTGTACATAATAGCATTATTATACATAATTTGTATATATTAATTCTCGCAAAATGACTGAAAACGTTTCAGGTAGCAGGGACCATAGTCACGTACGAATTGGTCCTGGTCCAGTTCAACGCAACCCAGCAAAATAACTCGAGCAACAGCACGATCGTATGCGAGGTGAAGTAATCACGTTTTCAAAAGTCTTTCAATGCGTTTGCAAGGAGACTTCGCCTTTCCACATTGAACATTCCGTGTGAAATATATCTGCATTATAAATATTTCCACGCTTCGAACAAAACATTGTACATGGCTTCGCTAATATCTTCTTTTCGATATTGTGATTAATTGAAATATTATACAATAAACATGTGAGTGCAATTTGCAATCAACGTAATGCTCTCGTGTGTGTGTGTGTGTGTGTGTGCGTGTGTTAGTCGTTAATTTTCAACTCTCTTTCTGTTGCGTGTATTAAATATTTATTTCTTGTAAGAAAGTATATCTTCTTCTCTTCTAAGAAAATGCATACATAAGTGAATATGTATATGTACGATTTGCAATAATTTTCTTATATCTTCCATCAGATTGATAAGTATGTTTAATCAAGTACGTTTTTTCTTTCTCTGTTGTAGATCAACGGATAGCGAGCTTTCTTATAACTGAAGAGAAGCTACGCTATTATCATTCGGTGACCAGTGTCGAACCTAAATGGTTGGACAGATCTTGTATCACTGCATAGTAGATATTTATGCGGATTTTTATGCGTTCGTAGGAAATTTCAAGAACGTACACAGCATGGAAAAATATATAAAATATCGAAAATAGAGTATAGTTGTTGTACAATATCTTGTAGTGAGGTAAAATTTCTGCTTAGATCACGTTAGGCAAATTTTTGAAAAAAAAATATATATATATATATATAATGTTATGCAAAAATATATATATTATACGAAAACGTATTCATTAAAATATTTAGTAGATAGAATAAATTTCTACTTGAATTTCATTTCTCTAGTTCACTTCGTAGAGATGTAAAATTGCTAATTGCTATGAATATTCTATTCAGAATGGAATAACTGTAATAACATTTCATATTTCATTGGTTTTGTATTCTTCCATTAAAATGTGGAAGCAACAGTAACGAAAATAGTGTAACTGCTTGACGTTTCTGAAAATTGTTATCTTGAAATGTGTGATGTGTGTAATGTTTGTAACACACATATTATCGTTCGTACAAAAAAAAAAAAAAAATAAAGAGGATGATGGAAATAATCTGAGACGTTGTGTTCAATATTAGAATTTATTATTCTAGGCTGCAGATTTTTATACGTTCATGGACGATTTGAAGATGCGAAAATGCACTTTAGTTAATGTACAATAAATAATTTACGGATTTTTTTTTTTTTCTAAAACAGATTTTGTCGCAGTCTACAAAAAAATGAGATCAGAATTAAGAATTTCCTTCTTCCTTCGAAGTTGAATTTCTTGTATAATTCTTCAGGTTTTTAAAATGTGTAAAAAATTGTATGACAATTGACAATATCAGATAACAAATTTTAAAAATCTAAATGACATAAAAACTATACATTATGCATTTACAGAAAATTTTAAAGTGTTATGTACGTAAACAAAAAAATGTATGCAATGTTCATACTATGTACACATATCATTTACTACGTTCCGAGTTCCATTTAAATACTATAATTAAATTAAAGCACTGTTCTATCTTTTCAATTGTACTCTCAAAAACATACATAGAAAAATCTAAAATCTGAATTTTCGCGAGTGAAAATTTCTATGAATTTATATGAACATAATATTGTTTAAAGAAAGGAATTATATATTTTTCTATATACAAATAACAAGAGAATTGTCGGGGACAGACTGGAGCATTAATTGCATTCATAATAGCAACAATATTGTCAAAAGTACAATTATGGACAGATTCGACAGTAATAGTGAAATAGATGTTGTTACATTTCGCTTCATTTAACACCATTGAATTGCAAAAGTACAACTTCGTACGTTATGATCGCCCCAGCAACCTGTAAATAAATTTCCTTTTCAACACATTATACTGTTATATATATATATATATTTTTTTTTTTCAATAAATTACAATAACACTGTAGATTAGATCTTGATGTAATATAAATATTATCGTAATTTACCGCAAGCATGAAATTCCTCGTGATCGAAAAGAAACGTAATCCAGTTAAAGCTACGTCGTCTGTCGCGAGCTGATACTGCAGTCTTTGAGCCTGTAAACAGATAGATTTACATTTCCAATTTATTATGGACCTTAATTAAAATAATTTTAATATAATTAAGTAACTGTCTAATTGTTAAGTTAATTATAATTTAAAATGATTGTAAAATATTGTAATAAATTATATATTAAAAATAATTATAACTAAGTAATAAATATTAATTCAATGGACGAATAACATGTACATTTGTAACTCATCATGAATAATGTAAATATTTAAAACAAAAAAATTGATATTGAGAATCTTAAACCAGTCAATACAATATCAATTAAAATAATTATGCAAATATTGTAATAAATTATAAAGTGAAAATAAATAATAATATGTGGCATGTGACATAAATATAGATAATGTTAAATTTAATTATAATCGAATAATTTTTCAAAGAACGATATTAGCCACATTTTTCGTTTCTTTATAAGGAACGTCGAATTGCAAAATTTCGCAAGTAATTAAATATTACAAATAAATGATTACCTCGATACCGTAATTGGACGTCGAGCAATTGTACAGATAAGGTAACGCCTCTTTACTTTGATCGTGTATTCGAGCTGTGAGTAAAGTAACAGCGCACGTACGAATGATAAGGAATCCGAAAGAGCCGAAGAAGTAAACTGTGCTTATTATGTTTTCATCGGATATGCTTGAAATGAAAATAGAAACTGATTAATCAATAGATAACCAACATCATTTTCACACTTGTTATGAGTAATGTTAAATATTTGTTAACATCAGATTGTTATTGATAATATAGACTGTATGATTAATTGCACAGTAATTCTCCATCGTTCGTGTGTTTGAAGTATCTTCCGATAAGAAAAAAAAAAGAAAAAGAGATCGATTTCTTACTTGTTCGTAAAAATTTTACGAGTATTATTTCGTAATTGTTTTCGAGATTTTTAATGATTCTTCATGACATGTATATATAAATAAATTAACGTACATATTTATGATTTGTCTGATACAAATTTTATATTTTTTATTATTTTGCTCCTCTTTTTCTTCTTTCTTTCTATTATAATTAGATTTAGAGACCTCCGCGAATTAGAGCTTTTGCAACTTTGTCTTTTAATATACCTACTTAATTAACTGTACACGTAAATACTGCTAATTATAGCATGCTTCTCTAAATGGGGTTGCTCCTTCAATAATCACACATTTACTATGGCTACTCGTTTATTAGCACACATTTATTTCTCTTGAATATGATGTGCCTCGCCCAATTGAGGCGAGCCATAATTTCAAAACGGCCGATCGTAAACGCAGATGTCATTAGACAAAATGAAATGGTCTCGAACGATATTATGCACCAGGGCGTTTCTCGAGGCAGGGCTATGGAGAAACAGAATTTTCGAAGATTCCAAGGTTGATTCTATCTTTTAAAGAAGATGTGCGTGTGTATATTTTCCTATGTGCCTTTTCAATTTTCTGTGTAAATGCAAAATCCTGGAGAAAACTAAGAATTGATTAGTTTGAGAATTCTAGACAATTATCTACACAACGATGTAATTAATTTATTACACTATATAGCACTTGCACACCATGATTGATTTTAAATCTCTCCAGCATACGTGAATTGGGGAAGAATCATAAATTACGAGATATTATTTGAATAAAAGTAACATTTCTTTAATATATAGTGAATAAAAGTTTCTTCAATTTTATGACACAAAATTGTAATATTTTTTTTCTCTTTATTTTAAGGAGATTTTATCTTTTTTTTCAACCTGTGCCTTTTTTTAGAAATTAATTTTGAAAGTGGCTTAAGTTCATTTAGAGCTTGACCATCGAGAACGTGTCATTTTTTAAACAATGTTCATCATTACCATTTATGTTGGGTAAATTACACACCCCTAGAAACAGAAAGCACCATGTTATCAGTTACCAATATTTTTAAATCTCCTGTCCTTGAATCTCAAAGGGAACTAAAGTATCTTGATTTAAAGATAAATGGACTTGGGCCATTTTCAAAATATAAATGGCTCGTATTATATAATTGTACGTACGACAGTCCGTTCAATAGTTGAAGACAAATGAAGTAGAGGTTGTTGGCGAAAGACAGAAGAATGATCGGAGAGATGTGCTCGTCTACTTTTTTAACAACGCAGCTCAGTATCGCATAGTCTTCGCGAAGTTCCCGCCAGTAGAACGTTGGTCGATACTTCGTCACCGTGACTGCTAACGTTTTGTTCAAGGATTTGTAC